GCTTCTGAACCTGAGTCACTTCCACACTGCTTCACAGGAAAGTTGCACCAGCAGGGTTCTGCTGTTCTGAGAAGGCACCGCCAACATAGCTAGCTCATAGAGTCACTAAAACTATTTCACAGAGTTGGTTAAGAACATGAAATAAAAGCAGCCTACTGGGGAACACTGAGCCCACCACCACGACAGCAGAAAAGCACCCTAGACAACCTGAGCCTCAAACTCCCCCTGGGAAGGCAATGACCCACAACTCCTCAAGCTTCTTTTATAGCAAAGGTCAAATGACCCACACCTGCCAGGTTTCACTTAACGAGGGTGGAGCCAAGAGACCTTGTGGAATAGGCTCCTCTACCTGGCTTCAGTCTTTTAAAGTCAATTGCTCCTTATCACTAATAGAAATAACCTGACAAGGGGCTTAGTGGTTAGAGTTGACCTAATGAATTAACTACAAAAGGTGCACAAGGGTCGTATTTCTGTTAGTCATTCTGTCAGGAAAATTAGTACAGAGCCTGTTAAAATAAATAAATAAATAGATAGGTAGACAGATAGAGAAATCAAAGAAATCAAAGAAAATGACCTTAAAGGCAAAGTTCCTATCACAGACTTTCATCTGTCTAGTCACGACAGATAAAGAATATAGCAATCAGAATCACTTTTCTTGGCATTAATGCTATTTAAGTCTGCTTTTCTGAGATGTCTTCCTTATGCAGGACTTTTCAAAATCTAGCCCCGTGACCTCTGACTACTCTATTTACTTCCGCTGCGTATAAGCTATCACATATAAATCCTCATGTATAAATCCTGATCCTCACTCACTATTCAGGTCAAAGACTGGGCTGAAGGTCTGGGCTTTGATTTGGTTACATGCCCACATTGCCGTTTCCTGGCAGGTCATGGCAAGAATATTGGCTGGCTTGGGGGAGCTTCCGTACACGTGGCTTTTAGGCTGCTGGCCAAAGTGTTCCCCTAGATCTGGAAGTCTGAAGACGGTTGCAGTCTCCAAGCTCAGATACAACCCCATGTTAGTCTGGCGCAACTGATTTTTGTGTTCCTTGCACTGGCTCTTCCTTCACCTCCTCTTCAGAGGCAAGGACACGCTTCTCTTTTGTGCTCCTTCGTTAGTAAACAAACCAGGAGAGATTCAAGCCTCTTTCTTCAAGTCAGTAAGATACTGGGCTACAGAGATGGCGAAGGGCCTAGAGGGGAAGACGTATGAGGAGCGGCTGAGGTCACTGGGCCTGTTCAGCCTGGAAACGAGGTGGCTGAGGGGAGACCTCGTCGCAGTCTACGGCTTCCTTGCGAGGGGGAGTGGACGGGCAGGTACTGATCTATTCTCTTCAGTCCCCAGTGATAGGACCCACGGGAATGGTGTCAACCTGAGGCAGGGGAGGCTTAGGCTAGACATCAGGAAGAGGTTCTTCACTGAGATGGCTGTCGCACACTGGAACAGGCTCCCCAGGCAAGTAGTCACTGCACCAAGCCTGTCGGCATTTAAGAAGCATTTGGACTGTGCACTTAGTCCCGTGGTCTGAACTTTTGGGTAGACCTGTGTGGTGCCAGGAGTTGGACTCAACGATCCAGTTTTGGGCCCCTCGCTACAAGAAGGACATCGAGGTGCTTGAGCGGGTCCAGAGAAGGGCGACGAAGCTGGTGAGGGGCCTGGAGAACAAGTCCTACGAGGAGCGGCTGAGGGAGCTGGGCTTGTTCAGCCTGGAGAAAAGGAGGCTCAGGCGTGACCTTATCACTCTCTACAGATACCTTAAAGGAGGCTGTAGCGAGGTGGGGGTTGGTCTATTCTCCCACGTGCCTGGTGACAGGACGAGGGGGAATGGGCTTAAGTTGCGCCAGGGGAGTTTTAGGATGGATCTTAGGAAGACCTTCTTTACCAAAAGGGTTGTTAGACATTGGAACAGGCTGCCCAGGGAAGTGGTACAGTCACCATCCCTGGAGGTCTTTAAAAGACGTTTAGATGTAGAGCTTAGGGATATGGTTTAGTGGGGACTGTTAGCGTTAGGTCAGAGGTTGGACTCGATGATCTTGAGGTCTCTTCCAACCTAGAAATTCTGTGGTTCTGTGATTCTGCGGTCCTTAGGGGACCATTCCAACTCGGGATAATCTATGATTCTATACCCGCCTTTGGTTTCAGTGAGAATTCAGGCCCTGAAAACAACCAAAGTTTCTTCTAGATGGTGTTTTTTCTGAATAGGATAACTTCATTTCCCTTTTGAAGACTTACAAGGATGTAGTAACAAAAGCAGATGCAGAAAACAGCACCTGAGGCACAGGCTACTTTTCAGCCTGCGCCGGACTATAGGTATTGTTATAAATGACTGAGTCCCAAATAGGGTTACAGTCAAAGTTTACAATTTATTAAAGGAATAGAGGTAAGCAAACAGCGCTGGGTGCACCGCGAGTCTCTGCTCCACCAAGACGCACACCAGTTACATCAGGCGGCTTGTTTTTATGCTCCTAGGCTAATACATATTCATCACCACTTTTGGAAAAGGCAGGGTTCTTATCATTAGTTTCCCGGCACCTGAACCATCCCACAGTATCAGCATACGTATCAGTCTCCGGCAGTCCCTCTGGGGGTCGCTCGTACTGAAGGCTCCTAGTTTTCCTCCCAGGCTTCGTCCTTCGGTTGTTCTTCAGCTCCTCCCCCCCCCCCCCCCCCTTATTTAGTGGTCTCTGGGCCACATGTCAGAAAGTTGTGTCTCATGCAATAGTCAGCAGTGAGCTCAAAAAACTCCCCCCTATTCTCTCATCTCCCAGACCCGAGTCTCAAGGTTTACCCTTCAAACCGTCTATTGACACGAACTGCTAGACCATTCTTTTGCAACATACAAGAACTATATACACTAACCACTCTGTTTCTCTTGGACTTGTGGTTATTTATACATGAGGATGTAAGACAGAAAGTCACATTTCATGATGAGGCCCTAGCATTGCTCCATATTGACACGAATCAGATGAACATATTTCACAGGATGATATTATCATTTCAGACAAATATAATCTACGTAGCGTGAAGTGTTCCGGCATGCTTACACCCTGCCAAGGGCCCAAAAATGGGACCTTCATTTTAAGACTGCATGGAAAAGAAAACAAAAACAACAACAACACAGAAGGAACTTTTCCTTCACCTAAATTTTATTATTATTTTGCAACTCCTGCAGGTGTCCACAAGAAATTTTGCCCCACCCTCTCCCCCCAAAAAACAAACAAACAAACAAATACATTGTGGCACAGAGGCATAATTTGTTCAAATTAAAAAGTAATGATTTCTTAGGACATTTCACCCAATACGTAATATTTAGGAATATACCTTCATTTCTTTTAGCTTTTGCCAGTAAAGCATGGGGTATGCCTTCAAGCAGTGGTAACTTTGCTCCTCATTCTTTTAAGATCTGTTTTGAATAACCATGGATATTTTCATTGAACAGATTCAAGTCAATTCCTTTAAACGTTCTAGTAAAATTTTGGCCTCAGCAATGACTTACCTATTCAATTACAGTAAAATCAGTTAAGTGAAATAAAATGGTTTTATTGTCTATGTCATGTTGGTTTTGGTCCCTTTCATCTTACTTTATGAAATACAGTATGTAAGAATACCAAATCTAGTTTTTCTGTACCTTTCGCTATCTCTGCATTTTCAATGTAATTTGTTCCCTCCCTTTTCATGTTTTAGATTTCCCCATTGCAATTTATATCAATGTATATCAAACTCTAGGAGTTATTTTAAGCAAATTCCATACCATAACTCCGTGACACAGAACACTTTCATAAATTATTATATTCCCGTCTTTCCATGGCATGATATTTTGTTCTTTTATAATATCTGTACAGGGACGAGTTGGTTTCACTGAGCCATTCACAGTGATACACAAGTCTTTCTCTTGAATTGGTAAAGATAACTTCCTGCCTTGACATATTTTATAGTTGTATGGTTCCCTCTCACTATGTAATTCTGCATTGCTCAGTCACCCAGTCTACCAAGGGTAACTCAAATTCCTCAGCCTCATCGCGTAACAATGAGGAGGACGCAGTTTTGCATTATAAAAATACCACAGCTATATGGCCAATAAAGTTTAATAACAACTCCTTTTCATATTATGGAGCCTGGCAGCATACCTATGCTGTTTTTGTCATATATTATCTTTTTTTTTTTTTTTTTTTTTTTTTTTTTTTTTTTCTGTCTCACAGCCTTGTTTCTAATCTAATCAATGGCAGCACTGTTGTGATCACTTTGCTGCAGGCATGGTCTCCTATGTGGGACATCATACGAACCTTTTTTCCAAATCTGAACACATTTTTATTCAGCCACCTCTTTTCCACCTACTGCATTGCCAGTGCTCTGGGAGATTCCAGCAAACTGCAGAAATGTGTCGCGCCATTCTCGGCATTTCTAATTCTGGCATGGATAATTCAGCCACGACTTGGGCGCGCATACCGTAAGGCAACGTGGATTTACTAGGACATTTCACGAGTGTTTGATTACCATGCCGGTAACGTAGAGCATCTTTGGGAAGGAGTGAGTCAGCAGGCCGCAGGCCATCATCCCCTGCCAACCAGGACGCTCAGGTCCCCGACAGCCTCCTGCTTGCTGTGACCCAGCAGCCTGCCACACTCACAGTTCGTTGTTTAATTGTGTGTGATGTTGTAAGGGTCGCTACAAAACATTGCTACTCCAGGCAGCACTTTTTTTCTTTTTTTTTTTTTTTTTTTTTTGCGAGTGTTTTTAAACCATTTTCAAGGGAGGTTCAATATCACCATCCTTGGGTGGAAAATAAAATTAAAAAAAAATAAAAAAAAAAGTGGAGGGACCAGGAGAAAACCAGAAGACTTCTCCCTAGCCTCACAGGACCCACATATTTGTGCCCCAGCCTTGTGCCTGAAGCAGCAGGGGCCCGGCCAGGCTCTGCCTCGTGGAGGGGGCCGGGCAGAGCCGCCCCCTAGTGCCGGCCCGCGGTGGGAGGAGCGCAGACGGAAGGGAGGAGAAGGAAGGAGAGAAGGGAGGAGAAGGAAGGAGAAGGAGGGACCCCGGCGGGGCGGGGATGCGCGGCCGGGACGCGGGGCGCGGAGTGCGCGGCCGGGATGCGGTGCGGGAAGATGGCGGCGGCGCCGCCACCAGTGGCAGCAGCGGGGGCAGCGGCGGCGGCCGGGGCGGCGAGCGGCTGGGGCGGCGTGCGGCGGCGCTGCCAGCGGCTGCTCTACTGGGTGCCCGTGCTCTTCATCTCCAGTATCCTGTGCTGGTCCTACTACGCCTATGTCACCCAGCTCTGCCTGCGTGAGTGCCGCCGGGGAGGGCAGCCCGTGGCTTGCGCCGCGAAGGGGGTCGGGGAAGCGTCGTCCACTGAGGTGGAAGCGTGGTGGGGTGAGGTGGAGCCCCCCGAGTTGGGAGCAGAAGTACCGTGGGGCAGGGCAGCTCCCTGGGGTGGGTTTTGGGGTGCTCAAAGGACGCCCGCTGCCCCTGCTTCTGGCCCTGGGCAGCAGGCGGGTGGGCACGCAGCTGGCGAGAGCTGGGTGTTTGGTTCAGCGCGGGGGGCAAGCCAGAAGGGTTAATGAAATGGCAAGCCAGCCGCGCTCCCTTGAATCGATTCCAGTTTCTGTGGGTGTTTACCTTGCAGGAAGCAATCTTTAAATTTTAGATGCGTCACGATGTTTAGATGTTTCGTGGTGTTTGTTTAGATCCCGGTGTTCCGTGATCGATGTTATGACGCTGGGAACACAAACTGTCCGCCGCATCTCCCTTACCCCTTTGCTCTAGAGGGGAATCACAGTGAGCATTGAGTAGCTGCCAGGCATCTGTTCAGGGATCGTGGTGGTGGTGATGGTGGGGAAATACCCTCATCAAGCTCACTCACTGCATTTAAATGCCCGTATAACTTTGCCAGACTTCGGCTGTTCATGTAAAAAATCTCAGCAGTCTGGTAACTAATTTTGGGTTATATTTTTTTAACAGAAGAATGTGACAGGAAGGTTTTTGTTGTACAGATGCCTGGCTGAGCTGTTGAGGCATTAAGCCAGACATGATTCCCTGGCTTAGCACCTCTGTTTTGCAGGGAGCTATGAAGACTTGGTGTGTTGTAGTTGAGATTGATTGATATATATATTTATTTATTTTTCACTAACAGCATTCAGATGTGTTACTTTTAAGTGCTGCTCATCAGCTAGAAAGTGGGATTTGAGTGCTGTGTCCTGGTGAGAGGAGGAGCGAAGTGTCTCCCTGCAGAGCATTGTATGGGATGCTGTGGGGAGAAGTGGCTGAGGAGAGCTGTAGGCTGACACAGGGAGGGCAAGGATGCTGCAGGAATGAGTGACCCTATAGTTAATGTCTGTCCTAATGTACACAGCCCCCTGATATGTACACAACAAAGGAGGCTTGATGTGGGCAGTGCTATTTGAGTGATCTACTGCATGCTTTTTTCTATGTAATTCTACCAAACAGAGGAAAAAAAAGAGTTGTAGTGTACCTGAAAGCATTTCGTAAGGCCTCTTAGGGAAATAGCAGGATTGAAACTTCCTGTGAACTATTGCACTGTAAGTCCTTGAGAACCCCTCAGAGCAAAAGGCCTGCAATAGGAAGGAAGGGAGAGGGACTCTTGGGACTCTGCTAAAACTGCCGGTGCTGAAGCCCTGTCTGTGAACAAAGGTGGCTTTTAAAAAATTCTTGTCATTTCCCTCTACCCACATTCCTCCTGGCTTACCAGCTTATGAATTCAGCGTAACATTTGCCCACGACTTGCCTTAATTCCATCTTTTATCTATATCTGGATGTTTTTCCTCATTTTTGGCGTATTAAGATAAAACAAACTTATGTCTCGTCTTACTAATGAATATTTAGTGTAAACAACAGAAGGAACAGCTAACAGCTCTGGAAACGAAAGCCAGCAGCAGGAAAAGACTGTAAGCGTTTCAGTGCTTTGAAGCCAGCCTGTCTGCTCGGCTCATCTTTTATTCCTGCGGCGCTGCCTGCTCCGGGGATGTGTGTAACTGCTGATTTTGTTGCGACTGGCTGTCAGGGATGCTGATGACAAGACAATGTACAGCAAACAATGTTAACCGTTGTGTGGTAGGATTTAGCAAGCATTGTTGCACAGTTCTGATGTAAATGGTTTCTTTGAGCTTTTAGTAATGAGAGTTTCAAATGTAGTGTGCTGGGTGTTCTTGCAGTTTTGACTGAGTGGTGTAGGAGGGAGTTTACATTGGAAAAAGAAAGAAGGTCCCTGAGGTGTTCCCCTTTCATCCCTAAAACTTATCAGTTATGGTATTGAGCAATGTTCTAGAAATCAGGAGAAATGATTCAGGGTTTAGAAACAATAACAAAGGCAGGGGGAGAGAAAAGGAACCACTACTTTTACCTGTGGTATTGCTATGCTTAGAGTTCTGCCTCTTTTGTTAGGGGATTCAGCTAAGTGCTCGCAGGTCTTTAACCTTTAAGATAAAGGAGAAAGGCATTCAAGGCCTTTCAGTCAATGGTCATCCTCTTCCTGCTGCTTATAGAGTACTAGAATTAAATGAGATGAGTCAAATTTTAAAAACTGCAAAGCTGGAAATGTTGTAAAATGTATTTGTTTTCAAAGAATCTCTAATATGGGAACAGCACTTTTATGGTATATGAGAAATGTTATTTTTTACAAACCTAAAGGACAACACTGCTGCTTGCTATGTCTTGGATGTCACTTTGGGAGCAGGATGTAAAGTCATCTCTGAAGGGCTAGACTAAACACTAATGCACACAGAAGGAAGCATGCATTGGACTGGAAACTTTTTTTTTTTTTTTTACAGCAATGTCTAATTTTTCCTAGATAGTGTGGATAGACTTGTTTCTAGGATCTGCAGTGTGAAAACAGAACATTTTTTTAATTCTCTGATATAAAAATATTTTGCGGCATGTCACAGTGCTTCTGGGCTTGCAAGCATCCTACTCTTTGACATTGTAATTGTTCCTTATTGCTAGAAGTGGAGTGATTCATAGGACTGATTGAAAACTCTCCCAGAAAGGAAAAGGCTGCATACAGTAGAGGGTAGATTTTAATTCAGGATTTCTCAAACATATAATCTCTGATAAATTGTAGCCTTTGGTTAAATCAGATGAAGTTTTGTATGAGATACCACAACTCTTGTCAAATTCCTTTGTATCTCTAAGGTCAATAATACTTGAAAATAACATATATTCTTCCATAAAAATAATGTAGAGGCTTTGGCATGACCCCAGATTGTCACATCTGGAGATAAAGTGAAATCAAAATGATGTTCAGTTAAAAGATATCTGCTAGGTGGAAGAGTGTAATTTGGGTTAGTAGAACTATAAGGGGCTTTGAATAATTATCCACTCCATTACCCACTGCTTTTGGGTAAGGCAGAACCAGTAGATATTTGTGCTGTTTCTGACAGCTATTTGTCAGAAATGTTCTTGACAATCCTGGACATTGAGACTTATTTATTTTTCCTACCAGTTCATGATTTGAAGCTATTTATAAGAAGGAAAACCTGAACATTTGACAGTGCTGGGACAGATGGTGACAATTTTAACTGTGCTGATGAAATGGTTGTCCAATAAAGTACAAATTGGTTTCATATGTACAGTTTTAATCCATTTTTACTTGTCACTGATTTTAATTTGAAGGATAATACTCTTGTTCAGGGAATCATGTCGTAAAATACAACTTGAATTTGTAACTTTAAAGAAGGAGGATAGATCTGCTGTGGAACCTGGAAATGAGCAATGAGCATTTTTTGAACTACTTAAGTGAAGAGAGAGGGAGGAAATGTTCCCACCTGGTGAGTGGTCTGGCTGATCTGAGAAAGTGCGAGTGGCTTCAGCACAGTTGAAGGGGGGGGCAACGAGACATTCACCATCCAGTCAGGAGAGCTTCTAAACCACATTCTTGTATTTTGTATGAATGTGTAACTGTGAGCTGCCCACCACTACCTTCAGTGCAGAGCAGAGCAATGTGATGTGACACCCAGCTGCTAAAGATGTTAATGGGCGTGAAAGAGTTTTGCTTGGAGGACCAGATTGGTTAGCGCTGAACGGAGGGTTTTGATTCAATACAGTGACAGTGGAATAGAATTATAGTGGGATAAAAAGCTGCTTAATTCATCACAATTTAGAGGCAGAATTAATGTGTGCCCTGGAGGCATGGCACAGCGTGATCAGGGATCAGAGCATGTTGAGATAGAAGCTGATAGACCCTGCGCGTGGCAAAGGAAAAAAGTGGGGGCCCAAGATTTGGTCATCTGGGTTTGAGCTCTTTGCTCCATATGTTCTCTAAATGGATCAAAGGATTTCTGGTACTTACTGCTCATGTCTTGTAATCAACTGCAGCTTACGTTTCACTACAGAAATACACATATGTTGTAACACTGCTGCCTGTACGTTGGCTGCTAAGATAGCAATGGATTTTGGTCAAAGCATAATTGTATATGTATTTATGCCAGGTTTTGCAGATGCCACATTTTTTCTCTTTTGATCTCTGGTTGCTTTTAGGAAAGCGTAAAACCTCACAGCTGAAGTAAAATTGGCTTCTGATTTTTAGCCAGCAGGAATTCCTGTGCATTTCCCAAATCTCATTTGATTTCTTTCTCAGAATTTCAAAGAAAGCTCCACTTCTGAAATTGAGTTAGCACTGCTTGATATATAGCAGCTTGTATAGACGTGTTCATCAGGGTCTGCTCTTTCTTTGCTGAAAAGGGTCTGGTCATACAAATTTAGGAGTAGTTTAAAGACAGTCCCTGTGACATGGGAAGTGAATAAGAACTTCATAAAGATGAAAGATTAGATCAGTTTTGGGGCATACTCAGTTTGCAAGCAATGGTTTTGTTGTGACCCTACCTGAAAGGATGTCAGATGGCAGCTTGCTGTTAGTAGGGGAGCACTGATGTAGTTCAATGGGCACAGTACTAGGGGTTCAAATGAATTTACTGATACATTCATAAATACTGTCAAATCCAAATGTGTGCATTATTGAGGACTATGCCAACCTTATATCTCCCAGGAATTGTTTGTTGCTTTTGTTCTTAAATGAAGCAGTGTCCCAAGTCTCCTCCTTGTCATTCTGAATCAATGCAATTCACTGCTCTGCCCGGCAAAGTGGCAGTTTGTATTATAGCACTGATTTTTTTTATTATTATTATTTGTAAAGGACTATTGCATATAAGGATGGAATACTTGTCACAACAGTAAAACACTTTTATGTGTGCAGAGAGTTAAACTGCATCTATAGATCAGTGTTTTACAGCTTCAAATGCATTATAAAGATGAAATACATACTTAGTTTTGTGAATCGGATCCAGGATATTAAATTATATACAAGTTTGAGAGAAACAACTATTTATAGATGTGGCTGCAGAGTCTCAGAATTAGATCTATCTGATATTGCCATCCCCAAGTTTTAAATATTTTAAAGATGTACATCGAGTGTGGAAACAAGATTTTGTATATTCGCTTCCATTAAAGCTTTTAAAGATTCATTGCTTTCTCCAGTCTTTCATTATTATTATTATTAATCCATTACATTAACTGCTCAGGAACTTTGATTTTGGGTTTAGAACTCAAGCAAGATTTAACGTTAGAAAATTGATGCATTTTTTTGTTATTTTTTACATGAATTTTATCCTCTGAGATCACTTTGGAGTTCTGTGCTAGTAATGTGTCTTGCTGTGTCTCAGGCTATCTGGAGACAGATGCCTACTTAATTTTTCCATGGGTAAGTGAGAATAAAGATTTCTAGAGAAAATGAACCCTAGTTCAAGAAATGGGAAGTCCACTTCTAAACTGAAGTAAGGTCTGATCCAGCACGAATTGACTTCGCAGAGTCAAAGCATGTGTGGGTTAACATTTTACACACGAGTTGTTTTGCGGCAATGATTTGTTGCTGCACAGACAGCTCAGAGGGGCTGTGGACTCTCCCTCCTTGAGGATCTTCAGAAGCCCTCTGGACGTGGTTGTGGTCCTGGCAGCTAGCTCTGGGTGGCCCTGCTGGAGCAGGGGTTGGAGCATATAGGGCTCCAGCGGGCCCTGCCAGCCTCAGTTGTGCTCTGGTTTTGTGATACAGGAGTTGTGGCAATCAATCTTTTGAGATACTTCGGCGCCTCTTTGGCTGTCAAGGTTCATTCCTAATGCTCAAATGCCTTTCTCCCAGCGATGAGGACTACCAGCTGGCACAGGGTGAATTCCCCAGGCTTTTACAGTGTCCTCTCCATCATGAATTTTTACTCTGCTGGTAAATTATTTTTTTTTTTTTCACCCTGTTTTGTGTAGCATAACTTTCTGTCCTCCGTATAATGTGTTTTTTTTGCAAGCACAGACAATATATTCAGTGGTGTAGCCTAATGAGTGTGCTGCACTGTGGCTGATGGCCCAGGAAACTGGCATCTATATTGGCCAAAGTCCCACCTGTGTCCCAGCCTGTTCCGTGATGCTGATGAGCACCGTCTGTAAGCCATGTAATGAAACAGAGAGGCTCTAATTACGTGATAGTCTGCTGGTGCTGAACCGTAAATGGCATCCTGGCAGTGCAGCAGCGGAAGGCGAATTCTTAACGAAGCGTGCCCCCACGGCAGCTCAGATGAGCAGAGCTCTGACTTGGTGCTGGCTACTCGAAGGCAGGTCATGTTTTGACAATTATCTCTGGCTCTGAAAATATGGAAGCTGCCATGCCATTGCTATTGCAAAGGCTCTTTGCCTGTTTCCTCCAAACCTGTGAAAATTGCTTCACAGTTGCTCCTGGTGTGTCCTTAGTGCTTATTTTGAGTTATTGTAGATGTAAGTGCTTTCTACGCTTATTATTTCTATGCTATTTGACTACCAGTGCGCAAATGTGCAGCATTTAAGCTGATATTTATTAATGACAATGAGCGGTCTGACCTACTTTTTTGTGCATTACCAGCAGTTAACACAACCCCTAGGAAAAGAGAGGAGAAAACCGCCAGAAAGTGGTATAAATGATTCACAAAAGACTATATAATCAGACTATATAATCAAGTACTATTGAATAATATTGCAAAGGCAGATCACTGTATCTACTGGAAAATAGGGAAATAATATTTTTAATAAATAGATTGAGGGTGCTGTTCGGAAGGTGAAAACTTATCTGTTCAAATTACAAATTAGTCAGATTTTTCTTGCTAAAAAATTATTTTCCACGCACTTATGCAGTGTGATTTTTAGAACTGTAAGCGTCTTGTAGTTACCTAGGAAAGACTTTGTATCGTGGTCATTCAGCAAATAAACTAAGTTTACTTTTCACAGGAAATTTAAAGGAAAGATTGATTTCTAAGGGCTATTTTTTCCTATTGTTTAAATCTGTCTCATTTAGGGGGAAGGAAGAACGTATTTCCTCCAGTCACCTTTCAATTCCTTTCCCCCACCTTTATACTTCCTTCAGGGAGCCTTTGTCAAAGGCGATTTAAAAAAGCCTGAACAGGAGGAGTAATACTTCACCCTGTGAAAAGCTGCAGGTTATTGGACAGCTGGCATATTCCTCCATGGCACAGTCAGAGGGGATGTTTGCTGAACAGTGCTGTCAGGCTCTGTGTAAACACCCATTGAAGTACGTCTGGAGAAAAAGAGCGGTAAGGTTGGAGATGGGGGCCTCTCAGATGTGGTGCTTCTACCTCAGCCTTGCGTGATGGTGGCGACTCAGGAGTGCGTGAAATAACTCTCTTGCCGATTGGTAAGAGATTAAAATGACACGAATAACCATAAAATTGTTTCTCAGTCATCTTTGGGCACCTAATGTTTTAGCCTTCAGGATCTGCATCTGCTGCCTGTCAAGAATACTTGGCTTCCAAGCTAGTTACTGCAAAGCTGGAAATCTTGTCTCCCGAGCAGGTGCAGGCTCTGAAGAGTGTGTTTCCTCCAGGAGGTGCACAGAAATCTTGAGAAGCTGTAGGCCTGCAGTGGAAAAACAGATTATTAAATTTGGATTTATCGGTTGTGTCGGGCCTTTACTTGCAGACATGTAGAAACGTTTCTGTTGTGAGCAGACAGACCATCAGCATTCACAGTCTCTTCTGCCCTTAATCAATAACTGCAGTTGGTCCCTGTCAGATGTGCTACTTAAGAGAAGATGATGTATGGAGGAAGAGAATGTGCTTGTCTGATGTGGATTCAGTGACTGGAAAATAAGTCTCAAAAACATTAATATGTTTTATCCAAAGTTAATGGGGAGAAAGGTGATGACAAGTGCTCTCACAGCAAAGGTCTAAGCCCTTGTTAGAAGTACCACCAATCATTGTGAAAGGTCAGATAAGTAAACTCATTTGAAATTAGTGCTCCTGCACTGTATGCATTGCTAAGGCTTTTTAATTAGCAGAGTGGTTATTTGGAGACGACTAGCAGAATTTTTACTGCGCAGGGATTCTGCATACCTTCCTGGTCATACCAAGTGGAGGAATAAATTCAGGATTTCTGAACTGGCTGTTCTGCCCTAATTTGAGAGCCCCAGCACTCTTAAATTAATGCATCAACTCTAAAGATGTCTTTGGGTTATTCCTGGTGGGTGGCTGCTTACAATTTCACAGTTTTTGTGCATGCTGATACTGCAGCATCTCTACTCCTCAAAGTCACGTGTGTGTATATTTATTTCCTCAGCTTCTTTCTAGCTCTTGTCTAGGTTGATATCTAGCTTGTCAAACTGTGCTGTTAATTAGCTAAACCTGAAAATTGAGGATGGAATAGTTTTCTTTATAATATGAAACTTCTGTGGTGTCTTTCTGATTTCTCAAAAAACTCTTTAAACATGATTTACTGTTTTCCCTCGGGTTGTGTAGATGCTCATTTTAGTCAATCTATAGTCAAATACCAATTTGAATAGACCTGTTTTATAATTTAAGAATTACAGAATAATTTATGTTTGAGGGGACCATAGCCCATCTATTCCAAACCAAAGCGGGGTAGGTGTGAGATCAGGCCAGGCTGTTTGCAGTGTTACCCAGTTTCCAAAGCTGGAGACTATACAGCCTTTCTAGGCAACTTGCTCCGCTGGTGGACTCTTCTCATGGTGGAAAAGCCCTTCCTTGTATCAAATGTAATCCTCCTTTCAATTTGTGGCCAATATTCCTTGTCCTCCCACCAAGCACCATTATGAAGAGCCCAGCTCCACCTCCTTGATGCCTCCCTGTAGGTCCTGGTAGGCTGCTGTTGGGTCCCCACAAGACTTTGCCTTCCCCAGGCTAAACAAGTCCTGATCATGCAGCCTCTGCTCAGAGGATGGGTGGTCCAGTCCCTAGCAGTTCGGTGGCTCTCCCCTGGACTTGCAGCTTTGTTGTACTGGAGCAGCCAGGGGCAGCATTCTGGTTGTGGTCTACTTTTATCTATTTTTATGCCTTGGAGATCCAAGATATCACTGGCAAAACAGTTCTGGGTTCTGACACCTCCACCTCAAGAGCAGACCATGTATAAACAATAAAACTTGAAGATCCACGGTTAAATAAGTGTTCTTCAGAGGTGGTTTCCTTGGGCTAAACTTTGGCAACTTCAGATGAAAGAAAGCTCTGTGGAACTGAGCCTGGGAATGGGGGCTGGAAGCGTTTATAAGCAATTGGCATTGATTTTAATTATTTACCTATTCCAGTGATGAATGTACGCAGCTGCACTATAAAAGCTTGATAGTGTATAGTCTTTAGCTCGTATCATTTGATGAATATTCTTCCCTATTTGGTTGAAAAACAAAAGCTTAAAATACTCAGTTACATCATTTGCTATTTAAAAATAATTTTTACTCTTTCTTTCTTGTTTTTCAGTAACAATGACAAATATTGGAGAAAAAGGTAAGATTTTTATTTGCTGTTTATAAGTGGAATTCGTATGCCAGGGTAGTACAGTAGTTTATGAATAGAATTGAGATTCAGATCTGTTGCATTTTAAATGAATGCATTTGGTGTGCTCCTCAGCTCCTTCTATTATTGTCTTGGTCCTGAACATTGCTTTCACCATTCAAAATAGAGATGAGAAAAATAAGGACTTTTTACTCTCCTTTACTGACTTTCTGAAGTATCAACTGCAATAATCCTTATATTCTGTTTTGATTTTTCATTTTTATTCATAACAAGGACAGCTCATGTAAAACCAAGGCTTTTGAAAATGATCAGGGTGGTTGTACAGGGTGCAGCATACTTAAATGAGAGATGATTTTTTTTTCTTCAGCTTCACTTTAGCCGATGTCTTTGAAGACGCAGAATCCTTCAGATATATAACCTTCCCAGAAAGTAATAAAACTGCCTGATTAGCTATCACTACCCAAAGGCACTAACATATTGAGATTGCTTTTCCAGATGATATTTTAAAGCTACAGCACAACTTGGAACTGTAGAGTGAGGCTGTGAATCTCATAGAGAAGGGGACTTGTGTCATCCCAGCAGTTTTTAAGTCATTTGAGACTCTCTCACTTAGTAAAAGATTTTGATAATTAAGAAATATTTGCTTGAAAAACACGTTTCTGTTCAGTGATCTTCCCCATGCAGCCAGCACAGGAAACATGCTTCTTCCTGCTCTGTCGTGGAAAAACAAAGTTCAGTGTGTTGGTAGGCATTGCTCACAAAGCAAATCAGAAAAAGGCATTGATGACCATTACATTTCCTCTTTAGCTGCTCAAAACCTCGGTGAGCCTGTCAGAAGAAATTTACCCTGTACTTCTATACCCTGTACTCGCTCTACTTCTACCCAAGGTGTTGTCAGGGATGACAACTGGGCAGATGTGGTTCACCCCCCAGTTGTCCCCTATTAGTGGGTGTTGTAACCTTCCAGGCGACTCTAGCTATTTTTAAGTGGGTTGCCTTCATACGAGGGCTACGCTATTTTTATTTTATTTTATTTTTAAGGAAATGTGTAAAATAGAAGGATTTACGTGGCAGCACCTGGGTAAGGAAACTGAGTGAGGCATCACAGTGTAAGGAAACTGGTGGCTGGGTGACCTGGGAGATGTGACAGGTCAGGGCCTTGGCCACGCTGGAGGACTGAGGTGCAAGAACAAATGAAAGGAACTCGGGTATTGTGCACACCTTAAAGGGGATAATCTCTTTAGGCTGTTTTTTTTTTTTCTTCCTATATATGGAAAATGATTTTTTTTACTGACCACAGTTACTCTTCTTCTCTCAGTAATAAAATACAGATTGGTAAATACATGGTGTACCAAAATGATATAATGCCCTGCCTTGCCCTCATTTTATGCCATGAATATGCTGGTTTTTTAAAAAAATAGTGATTTTCTTTGAGTAGATCAGTTTTTCTTGGAATTGATTAAAAGATAGATGAAAAAATGCTCCACTAAAAATGTGGACTGTGCCTGCCAGAAGCTTTTGCAATAGCAAGGTAGTGTAATCCAGGATATTGTGGTTGATGTGGAGTCCAGGTCTATCATTTACTTGCACTGATATTTTTTTCAGTTTATGGATGTAACACATGGCATCATGAGATTTTGCTAGCTTTGTTTCATATCCTTTATAACTGTCGAGTGAACAAGAATAAATATTTACTGTGTTGTGCTTTTTTTTTTTTTTTTTTTTTTTTTTGAATAAACAAACTTCAGTACCAGAAACATCTATTCAGAGTTATTCTGGAGGCAAAATTACAAAAGCCAAGAACATTCTGGGCTACTGTTCCTGCAGTTCTGCACACTATCCCAAGTGGTATGGAGAATTCTCTAGCACTGAATAGCTTTATGTATACATGTATAAAAACCACAGGCTAACCATATGGGGACAGTATTTCAGACTGTGCATGTTTCCCTTTGTGATGTTTCTGTGTTTGTTTGGTTTTTTTTTGACAATCTTATGAGTTTACAGGAGCTGCATAAAGAATATTTGACAGGTGTAGCATCCAGACCAACTCTGAGGTTTTTTTAATCTGAATTCATCTGCACAACAGGGAAATAATATTTTGTGCTGCTGTGGTCCTACATGGCCTTTATTTGCCAGTTCTGTGCCCAAGGAAGAATAACGTAAAGAAATACTCCTCCTTGTGAACTAGGGCAATTAAATCAGGGGACACAGGTTTTGGATTTAGTATGCACTGTAGTGAATTGTTAGCATCACTGATGGCTTCCTGCAGTAATGTACAGAATAACTGGTATGTACAGCAGGTACAGCGAGAGCTTCTAAGCAGAAATGCCTAGCAATACATGGCAGGTCTTTGAAAAAGTTTGTGTTACATTCTGCGTTCTCTTAAAAAAAAAAAAAAAAAAAAAAAAAAGCATATAAATGTTGACAGGCATCTATTAAAATACATGAATATATTGCTGGCTGTGAAAAATATAAAGCAATGAACACTTGAGTTTAAAGAACCTGGAGGGATGCAAGGCTGTTTCTAAAAACCTGCATCTTAAATACCTAGCAAAACAAATTGACTGGTTATGGTTATTATTCGGGTATCATATGTACACAAAGTCTCTTCTCACTCTGGTTGTTTAGGTATTGTAACACCTTATTGTTCAGTAACTATAATTCCTTTTTTTTCTCTCCATAGCTAACAGTCTTTCTGCATGGTTTATGAAACTGGAATGCAGAGAAGGTTCTGTTAAATAGGTTTTAACAAATACAAAAAGGGAGACTGCTTGCTTGAAAATAAGCAAATAACAGTTCCCCTCAAACTTTCACAGTATGTGTAGCCTGGCTACTCATGGCTTCCCCCATGCAGTCTGTATTGTCTCATGTAAAGTTGCAGTGCAGTATTTCTGTTGCAGAGCTTTTGCAGAGCCTCTGTATTTACATCTGTTAGAGTAAATACCTGTGGCATGTACTGTATCTGTCTGTAAGCACTATACTATCACTGGTCTGTTGGTATTAATTCTGTTCCTTTTTGATTTTAGTTGTGTGCCTGGTTGCTTACCACATATTTTTCATGCTGTTCGTCTGGTCATATTGGAAAACAATCTTTACGCTACCAATGAATCCTTCAAAAGAAGTAAGATAAACTTAACTTTCGTTTCTGAAATAGCCTAGTCAAATGCCTGCTTTTGTAGTGTTTGAGTAACTTAGGCTCTGCTCTCATGTAGTTTTACACTGTGAAGAAAGATACAGCTAGTAGTTGCAGCTTCTTATTAGGAAGAAGTCAGATTGCAAACAGCATAATTGACAAATCAAAAAAAAAAAAATAAAGCTACACCTTACCTAAATTTCCAAGATACTTAAATTAAAAAAATAGACAATATTTATGATGTTAAAAAGAAAAACTAAAAAAGCTTCAGTTGAACAAATGTGTGTTATTTGAACTAGCAGATTAAATCTTTGCATGGAAGTATATTTTTATATGGGGAAAAATATTTCCACAAGTTTTACACATATTTGGAGTTGTCTGTCAGCATCTGTCAGTTGTCCTCTAAATTCAAGCTTCTTCCACATCTGTTTTGGTGTGCAGGAACTTGGTTGTGGTATGAGTGCACAGTCAGGTAAGCTGATGCTGGGGAGAGTGTAGAAAAGCTGCATGGAATAGATGTCAAAGGTAGATATATACCCCAGATCCAAGTCCAGCTAGTATAGAAGTGTTAAATGAAAAGGATCTGGTTGTCTATGAGAACATTATCATACAAACTGCATTCAACATCACATAGCCTCTAGGCGATTGCTTTTAGTTCTTTGTGGTTGATTTTATTATTACTTTTTGTTTTAATTTTATATTCTTTTCTAACATTAAAACAATATAAAGGATAATAAAACTTCATAATCTTAATAACATTTTTCCCTATGCAACTCCATACAACCAAAACAAGCTTTTGGCATCTTCCAACCTGTCTGTATACAGACACCCCAACTTCCTCAGGAGGTGCTATGTAACAAAAACTCTCAGGCCAGGAGGAAGCATCCTATGGCTGCTTTGGAGTTTTGAAATGCCCACAAAGCCAAAGTACTTATTTTGGCATGGACTCCTAGCTTCATCTCCTATAATTACCATGCCAACACGATATGAATAGCTTGTGGTTTCTACTGTCTGTTTTGCGGAGGTTCTTCTCTGGGTAATTTTCATTCACTAAAAAGATATGTAATTGTGAAGACAAGTAGATAATTCAAAGTAATTGGCATCTTCCTTGAATTTCACACTGCAGTCTTTCCTCTCTGCCCCAAGCTGTAGCAGGGAAATAAATTAAGAACTTACTTCATTTAGTAATTACATAGCAAAATATGTGCATATATATATGGTGACTGTAGTGATAATTAGAAGGCTTTTCAAATCACTGGGCTGATGTCATTAAAAGACTACCAAAACATTTTGACAAGTCTTCAGTAATTATGCTGACATTCTAAAACCACCATACGATGCTACCAAAGCACTTCAAAAATCATATTAAAAGTAGCGAAGCAAGGTAATAGAAAGCGATGTGTGGTGTTTCCATGTTCTTTGAATTTACACAATGTTGCTGACAGTAAGTGACACCTTTTGTTGTTCTATGTCTTTTTGCTAATCTGCTAGAGCATAATTTTTTAAATTAATTAGGATGTTTTGTGATGTTAAGTTACTGTTTGATTTCCAGCTTATGGGATAAAGTCTGTAAATATAAATGGATGTACTTTCAACTTACCTGCCAACTGTAGGAAGTATTAATTAGCAGACTAAAAAGCAGATAAAGCTTTTGCATTTTGTTCTCATGAATACTGCAGCTTGTGCAAACCACACAGCATGTATGATGCTAACTAAGCTTATTTCAATTTTTTACACATATTAAAAGCATTAAAATACTCTGGCTTGGAATTTATAATATTTTTAGCTTAGCACTTTTATTCTGAAATTCCATGTGTTGTAGCCATCCCTCCCATACTAGAAATAGTTGTCTTGAGAAACACTTCAAACACAGATGACACCACACTACCTTAACTACTGAAGGTCAGTGCCTGTGTGTACCAGCTACATGCAGGCATTGCATGAAGGTGGGAGAGAAGTTGATTTCCCAGGCAGGAGGGTTTTGCAGCCTTCAGGCTACTTTGAGAACTTGTACAAAACGATGGAGGAATAGCTTTATGTGCTTTCAAAAAGGAAGTGTTAAAATGTTATTCTGAACCAAGTTTCTAAAGTGAGAAATTCTGTGCCACCCAACATAAATCAATTCAGGTGTTAGCAACAGGAGTGTGTTCTTGCTAGGAAAAAATAAAAGCAGCTCTTTAATTTCTGAGAAGCTCGGGGTTAGACTGTGAACCTCTAGCTTATACTGCAAGACTGTGAAACCATCAGGAAAGTGGAGTGATGCCTCTGACATCTCTATGGGGGTGAGAATGGGTTCCTACCTATCTGTTTCTGACTGCCTTTGTAGCTTTACATGCATCACCTTTGTTTAGGAAAAAAGTTCATATAATTCCTATCTCTTAAACCTTTCTGTAGACATAAACACTAGTGATACCAAGGACTTTTGCACCTTCCCATTTCTAGAAGTGACAGTGAACGGTGTTGGTTATGTTGCTGTGCTGCAGAGGAATTTCAAAAGTGCAAGAAATTTGGAGAACTTAATACGTACCATGTATCTCTTTTCAGTAAAACCCTCTGAGATGTTACAGAAGCAACGGTTGCCATTGCCACTTCAGACAGGGACAGAAGTTGCTTGGTGCAGGAGATGATGAGGTTGTTATTCTGTCATGTAGACCACGCAGCTCTTCCTTGCTCCCAGCTGGTCTGGTGTAAAACCACATCCAAATGCATCCATGAAGAGAACAGTGACTCTCCAGTGGCAAAGGATAAAAGGGAAAATGCCAAACACTAGAACAGAAATTCAGCTATCTTTTCTGCTACTGCTAGTAGCATATTCTATTTTGGTTAAATACAGGCATCCCTAGTTCATAGTCACAAGCTAATAGGTGGTATTGCAGTACATTAACTACTTTTCAAGGGGTTGGTAATTAAATTTGGTCATGACAACTCTTGATCCTCCCTTTGAGGAGTGTCTCTTAATACTTCTGGAAACATTCAGCATTCCATCTACACCAACTCAGAAGGAATTTTAATACTGTGTTGCTTCAATAGTAGTCAAAAATGCTACAAACTGAATTAGTGCTCTTAGGAACAGTGAGTTATTTGCTGTAATACCTCATATATGCTGCTAATCCATCTTTATAAAATGAATGTTTCTCTTTACATCTCTACAGGTACTTATTTAACTTGCAATTTGCTAACTTATCTTTGGTTTTAAAAATTATTCCAGTTTCATCTATCATACTCAGACAAGGAATCTCTAGAGAGGGAGCCTAGAGGTGAATCCCAGCAAGAAGTCTTACGACGGGCAGCCAAGGATCTTCCTATCTATACGAGGACAATGTCTGGAGGTAAATAGGTGTTCAGGAGACCATGGAAGGCAGGTGTCTTGATGTACTTGGCTGCCTAAGCTAATTCAAAGTCTTTCAAGGATTTTAGGGAAGAATCTCTTTTCATAGCTAACAAATCAGCAGTGCAAACCAGGAACTTAACTTACTGAATACATGTAACTTTATGCAGTTACACATATTCAATGAAAACACTGTTGGAGAGTAAATTGCTCTGTACAATTTCTGATTTTTACAGTGGATGGACAGTGCGTTGCTAAATGTTTGCAAACTGAAGGTAAACAATAGCGTGTAATACTAACAAACTGCAGGAGAAAATGTAGTTTTATTTGCATAGACTTAATTTCTTAGTGTATAATTGAAAACTAGTATTAATAAATTATTATCTGAATGTGGTATATAGCTAGAGAGATCACAGAAAGAAATGGTTACTATTTTACTTGCTGCTTGTTCATAGCAAGGACAAAAGTTCTTCCAGACTGAGAATTAGTCTTAACCTAATAATGCTGTAAGTTTGTAAACGTTTGTTAGCTAAGCAAATGCAAAAGCTAATCTCATACAGTAAATTAGAGCTGTTAGAATAATAGCTTAAAAGGCTTTTTTTGTTGGTTAGTATTGAAAGGATTTCTGGCCTGGTTCTAGGAAGGGCTTGGTGGGGTGGGTTGGGGTGGTTGGTTTGTAGCACTGATTTGGCTTTGGAGGAAAAAGCCCTGATCATGAGCATGATTAGAAGATTGGAAAAAGGAGCATTCTGGGTTTGTTCTTCTAGATTCAGCACTGCAGTGCATAAAGAATGCTTCAGTGTTTGCAAGTACTTCGATCTCACTGCAACACTTTCCTGGGAGCTCTGCTGAGCTGAGCTTCTAGTGCACATTTCTGGTCAGATTTCAGGTATCAAAATGTGTATCTGTATGTTGAGATCTAATCTTGCAACTTTTTTCTTTAGCAATTAGATACTGTGACAGATGCCATCTTGTAAAACCAGATCGTTGCCATCACTGTTCTGTGTGTGACAAGTAAGAAAATATTTTAAATGAGTAGTTTTTCTGAATACATACATTTTTTTCTTGATGCAGAGAAGCTTTTTTTTCTTAGACTTTTTTTTCAGATTTAGTTTTTATTTATTTCTTACTGAGGAAGTCTGTAACATACTCTAATTCATTTAATGAATTTCTTGATGCCAAATTGGATTACATGGTCTTATACACTATTTAATTATGAAAATTATAAATATTAATAAAGAACTTTCCTGAAGAATGTAACCAAAAGTAGCTGATAAACAAAAATTTGCTTCTTTTGTTAGAATCTGAATAAAGATCCCTACCCATCTCAATCTAATCATGATGTCACTTACATCTTATCCGAGGTAATAAACTTAATATCCTATTTTTCATTGGATAACTTGCAGGATATTTCTGTTTAAAGAAGGAAACAACCAAGCAGCCCCCATTTCTAACTGAAGCACTAACATAAAGTTTTTGTTTGTGTAACATGAAAGGAAGCTCACCTCCATATTCCCCCAAATGTCTGTGTCCTTCTCTGCTCTTGATTTAGATGTTTAAATTCAAGAGAAGGGGCTTCCTCAGACTGATTTATCCTTAGCTTGTTCCCAATACTCTTCAGCTGCTTACATATCAGATCTTGCTACTCTACTATGAGGCAGAGCAGACACAGCATTTTGTGCAGCAAAGCAGGAGAGGCACTGGAAGAGTAGATGGTGGTTGCAATGTAACATAGGAACAGTCTTATGTTTAAGCATAGCAGAAAAAAAGGGTACCCTGTGTTATCCTATGAAATATAAGTGAAATTTGCAGAATGACATTAATGTTTTTCAGAATATATAACTTTGTTTTCAAAATTCAGTTCCTTCAATTACATCTATTTTCTTGTAAGTTTTTTTTAATGGAGAGTGATTAATTGCAATATTTTGGATTTTTCATACCTGGTAAGTTCCTAAAATGTTTGTGCTTAAAGCTGACATTGTAGATAGTATTTTCTGACATCACTAAGCCCTTGGGCACCTGTAGGTAAACTCTATTATGTTAATTTTTATAGTCTTTGCTTAATAGACCAGGTAACCAATAGTATGTATGGGTAATTCTTAATCTCTACTTGAGTAGATTAAATCTGACACAACTTTGTTTCTGACTTTTTTTTTTTCCTTTTGTCTTTTGTGATGCTTGGAAATCTGTTGGTTTTTTAAAAGATGCATTCTGAAAATGGATCATCATTGCCCTTGGTGAGTGAACTATTTTTTTCTTGTATTGCTTTGATTTGGTAAAACAAACTCTTGAGGGATCATAGGTGATGTTTCACTGTTCCTGAAGTTAGATGCTTACATGAAGTGACTGGTCTCGCAGAACAATTGGAATTGCTTACTTTATATCCTCTTTCCTTAGGTGTGAGATGTGAGGGGAAGTTTTGATGCTGTTTTTCGTAGAACTGCGATTTAGCTATTTCTATAATTGGGGTGAGGTAGATTTCTGATCAGTAAGAACAATTCCTTTAAGAATTGCATTTTTTCTTGATGGTCCTTGAATATTGTAGCTTCTCTGGAGTGAATGATGAAGTATTACCCTAGGTTGAAAACCAAGGGGAAGCGCTGTGCCTTGTTCCCCCCTGGGAGGTAGAGCTCCTAGGACAGCTTGCATGGATTTGCTGGGAACATCTTGTTAGCTCTTCAGTTTCACATGTTGTTTTCTTTCTTTTTCTCCTCTTTCCCTTCCACCCTTCCTCCTTTCGCTGCGTATTGGCCTGTGCAGTGTATTTGTCTTTCTGCCTGTCTCAGCAGTCCTTGGAAGCAGCATGCAGGCAGGATATGGAATTGATTTTATTTTGGTTTGGCAGATATCTCACAGAAATCATTAAAGACAAATGTTTAGTAAGGTACAAGTTAGGAAGACTGGATAGTAGATGGCTCTTCACCATGTGAAAGCAGACAGAAAAGAAGCATCTCCTGTGTTGGATAAACTGAATGGAGGATAATTCTAAGCTGTTCTGACCACCTTAAATCTAATTCCTGGGCAAAAGGGACTTCCCCCTGTCCTGGGGGAAGAAGGGATGGATGCTTCTTTCTGTCTGTCTTAGACTTGAGTAAACACTCTGGCATAATTCAGAATGATTTAATAATCGCTTTTTATTTTGCAGATGCATGTTAGATAAAACAGAAAAATATTTACCAATATAATATTCAGTTACTTCCTACATGTTTGGTTTGTTTGTTTGTTTGTTTTTCTGCAGGGACACTTGGTGATGCTTGGTGTTAGTATTTCTAAAAATGCAAAACAAACAGATAAAATCCTTGAATGGTGAACATTTTTTTAAAATTATTTTTTAACTGTAAGAAAAAGGCTGTTTTCTGTACCCTGACAAAAATCAGTGAAAAGTCTTGGTTTTGTTATTAGGTATTATATATGCTTCTCATAAGCCTTATGGCCTGTTTGGCATTTTTTGAGGTTTTCATGTATTATCCTAAGGCAGAATATGTACTTCAGATAAATTTCTATTTCAGAATAAAAATCCATTGCAGCAAATAACAAATCATAAGCTGAGCAAATCATAATTGTGTAAAGGGGCAGTGATGTGGTATTTCCCTAGAGCACAGACTTTCAGAAAAACAAACTCCATTTTCCTTTCCACAGTATTGGCTTACTTTACCTGCTGGCAGACTATTTGTATCCAAACACAGTAGACATACCCAGTCTGAGGGAGAATTTACACTGCTCATTAGTTTTAACCTAATAAGCAATGGGTACAGAAAGAAAAAGTAGAATTGGAGAATATGTTGTAATACTTCTTGATGGAGGATTGTTCCTTTGTATTCCAAGTAACAGAAACACACTAGGAAAAGAAGTATTGCCTTGTTTTAGTTTTCCTAAGTTGATCAGGTATATGCACTGTTCCTTACTCAGCCTGAAAACATTAACTTTGTGGAAATGGCAGGAGATGTTTGGCATGCTGCGTAGATGAAATTGCAAATTGAGGATAACAACACACTTAGACTGTAAACTCTTAAGGAGAAGAAAAAAAAAAAAAGGTCATATGTGTCCAGACATGCAGTTAGATGCACGTAAACAATTGTTATTTCTTCTTTGCTGATTCTGTGGCTTTCTCGCGTCTCTGATGAGAGAGTCACAGAGCAGACTTCCAGCTTCTCTCCTGCTAGTGTGGGTTTGATTCTGAGCAAACATTATAGTTTCCTTTAAAGTACCTGTCTTTAAGGGTTCTTTGGGAGATCTTTCAAGAACTCTACTTTTTTAATGGTGTTTGTTTGTTTCATCAAATCACTGTAATGAGTGGGTTGTGGCCTTCCTCAAAACATAAATCCTGCTTTGTTTTTTTCTGTTGAGATTTTCTGGTGGGAGAAGGTTTGGTGAGCAGAAGGGGGAAAGAACCTGTGACGCTTAGGGAGAGCAGCAAGAATAGTCTTTTTGGAGGAGGATTTCTGGAGAGGGAATGGGTAAAAATAACCTAGGGAAAGTAGGGTGAAGCATTTGGAAGGAGGGGTGGTAAGATGGAAGTCAAGTTCTTGCCCCAGGTCAGCTGTTCCCTGCTTTTGGGGAGGCTATATTTTGGCCTGCACTTCCATGGTAATGGAAATGCCGTGATAAGTGGACATATGTAACGCTAATTGCCCTCTAGCTACTCTAAAAGGTTTAAGTGAAGCGGAAATAAAAGCATTAGTGATTTCTGTAAGTGCTCCTGCTACTCATACTATAGATGGAGCTTCAGGCAGGAATGGAATGGCTTGAGGCATCGCCAAAAATATGATCTATAGCAACTGATGATATAACAACTCTAGTACTAGCAGGGTGTGTTATAAACACCTTAGCAATCATTTGAAATGTACCTCCTCCTCTATTTTTCGAGTCATCCAAGAAAGGTTTAGCATCTCCTTCATTTTGTGATTCTTTTTCTTACCAGAGTTGCGTTGTAGCTTATATTTTTCACTTTTTTTTTTTTTTTTGGTGATTTTAGTTTACTAACTTCTAAGAGAGAGAAGGCTCTCTCTTCTTTTTGTACTTTAAAAGTAAGCATTCTAAATGTTACCTATAATCCAAGTGGAACCTAGAATGGTCTTTTGAACAAATGTTTCACTGCAATAGGATGGTTATTTAGCAAGCTGTATTTTATCAGTTTTACTCTTTCTCAAGATGTTATGCTTCATATTTAACTACTCTCCTTGAGAGCAGTTAATAGCACAATTACAAACACTTGGTGTTTACTTTCTTGTTAGTCTTTTAATTAAATATTCTTTTCCAGTGTGAACTCCTCAGTCTGGGGCTTCCTCAAAACTGAGAGGAGCAGGATGGTTTGTGAAAAATTATTTTAACTTGTGTGCCATATGTAGTAGTGCAAAAGAACGATGAGAATGAAATCTGTGATTCCAGAAATTTCATCTTTGCTGAAGAATATTTCATGTGATAGTTTTTTTTTTTCTCACAGTAAACTATGCCATAAAGACTGTCATAAAGCAAATGCCATGAGAGTAAATAGGGTTATCATGGAAACCACGGATCTGAATTGCTTGCAGTTTATCATGGAATTGCTAATTTTGACATCAGTAATGAAAAAACACTTCACTGGGGAGAACTGTAAATTTACTTTTCAATAAGAATCATGATGAGCTTAGAAGGGTCTTCTGGTTTTTCTAATTAGAACAATCTCATGTGAATCCTACTTAATTGTAGTTGATACAGATGCTTACCTATTGCTTTCTATTTAAATGGTGATGCCAAATTTAATATTTATCCAAGATGGCATGTTTTGTAACACGAAAAACAAATTAAAAAACAAACAACAAAAAAACCCTCCCTCTACCTTGTGGATAGATAATGGTGTACAGGGAGAGCTGTTTTAAGACTTTACCCTATTCTGATTACTGTGTATCCTGCTATTAGCATTACTCTCACCTTATATAAGAGAACAGTTGTAATAACTTGTCCTGTACTTCTAGAGGCAGATGAAGTTGGTATTCTCCAAGCCTTCTTCTTTATTTTTATTTTTTGAGAATTATCTTTCAACATAGCTGCTTTCATGGCTGTAGCCTTTGCTTAATTATCTAACCTTTCTGATAGGAATCAGTTAGTTAAAGAAGGAATGTGGATTTTTTTTAATTATTTATTCATTCATTTGAACTCTCTGGAGAATTCTGTCGAAGTTCACAGTTTAATGATAAGCTTTGGAAAGTTTCTGAATACGTTAAAAAACTAACAAATAACAAAAAATAGAAGTTGTTTACCAATAAATACTCCATGGGCACCCCTCCAATATTTTTCATCTGGTGGATGTAGCATCATTACATCCTTAATAGAACTGCAAAATTCATTGCCTTTAATGAGAAGCTGCCATGGTACTAAATGAACTCTCAACATGTCTGTTAGGTGGTAGTATATACTAGTAGCTCATTATCATGTATAAATCCTTTAAAAATAGGAAGCAGGTGAACATGAAGCCTGGAGAAGGATAAATGAGATTTATTTTAACTTTTGTATGTGTATTTAAATGTTCTTAATCGCTTTGGTTTGCTATCATGTTGTCACTGGTATGGAACGATTTCTCTTTATTTAACAGTAGTTATTTCCCTACTGTGACTACTCATGAGCCTCAGAATCTTACCACACACTAATGTAAACTTTATTTGTATGGTTAACAAAAGATTAACAGATTTCATACAATAATACAAATTTGAATTTCTGTAAACTGTTGAAAGTGGCATTGCCTTGTGAAGTTCTTTTTATTTGTTTCGTTGGCTGATTTGGTTAGCATTACTATGCTAATTTGGAACAGGAAGCCAAAATGCATTTCAATAGCTTGAAGCATCACAGACAGGGAGCAAAACTGGGTTTTCATACTGATATTAACTTCTATGGAGTAAATTAGTTTAATATTAAATTGGGTGAAAGCAAAGCAAATAACTTTCTTTACATTCCATTTTCATCTTTACATTTTTTTGTTATCAGGGTGAACAACTGTGTAGGATTCTCCAACTACAAATTTTTTCTTCTCTTCTTGGCTTACTCTCTACTGTATTGCCTTTTCATTGCTGCAACAGATTTACAGTATTTTATCAAGTTTTGGACAGTAAGTACTCCAATTTATGTACAGTCAGTGCATGTAGCTACTACTCTGCAAGAACTACAAGATTTGAGGTTTTATGTTGTAACCTAGTATCTTCTAAGACAAAATTTAGATAATAGTTGTAACACTTTTTTTTTCTGTTTGTTCTACGTTATTTTGAAGCTGTGTAAACTAACAATCATTTAGGAAAATATTTTACAAGAGAATTTATATCACAGATGGTCTTGTTATTATGTTCTAATGATATGCTATGAAAAAGCTTCAGGGAAATTTTCTAGTGTATCTGTTATGACTGTCTGGTTCACAACTTAGGATGTTACCTTCTTAGGTTTGCAGTATTTATGCTACAGTATTCTAAAAGGCTAAGTAAACGAGGTATTTTTTAGAAGATGAATTATTCTCCTCTAAAAGACACTTGAAAGTTCAAATCCAAATGTCAGTCAGGTTCTTGTGGTCGATATTTATACTTTCTCCAGAAAGGGCCAGTTACTTTCCATGCTGTCAGCAACCTAATTGCATGGCCATCTGTGCTTAAAAGGTGCGTGATTCAGTTATTCAGGCTCTTGTTGCGTGATACGTTTCTGTCTGCATTGAATTTGATTTGGCTGAATAAAGGATTATTAATAATCAAGTTAAACAGCTATTTCCCCAGTTCTAACAGCCTATTTCTTTTATTTTTAGAATGGCCTTCCTGATACTCAAGCCAAGTTCCACATCATGTTTTTATTTTTTGCTGCCGCTATGTTTTCTGTCAGTCTGTCTTCTCTCTTTGGGTACCACTGTTGGCTCGTCAGTAAGAACAAGTCAACATTAGGTAAGTTTAATGCTTCTGCATTTGTCAGGAAAAAATAAATATTAGGGGTCCATGATTTCCCACCACTCTGATGCATGTTTGTCAGGTTACAATTTAAAAGATTAAAAAAAGTGCAGATCTTTGAGAGCCTGTCCTTTACTGTAGCATGAACTGTAATAATACCAATGTTTATGAAAGTTCCTAGATCTATGTTTTCTTGTTGATACAAGTTGAATTAGAACAAGCAAATTATTTGATTTTTTTTTTCCACAGTTTTCTTGGGATTTACTAATATGCAAATGATTAATGGGAAATCTTTGAATACATTTCATTTGGAGGAAAGCTTGTTTACTTCAAGATTTCTGTAGGGTTTCCTCTGTACTGTGAATGTAAAGCCTCTGATAACTCATGCATACCTACACGTGGGAGGTTGCTGCCAGTGCTCCCTGGCCTGCTGCAGAAGCGCGGTCCCCACGTGGATCCAGAGTGGTTTCTGTGAGCTGTGCTGTCAGCACATCAGGACATGGTTTGTCTACGGGTGTAGAGCCCATTAGGGGAATTAAACAGTTATCAGTCACTGGCTGGAAAGAGGAGGAGTTCTCTGCCTTGGGCGCTTTGTGACACTTCAGGCTATATTTAGCTCTCTTCCCCTGAAATTCAGATTGGGTATCTGTGGAGAATGGTCTGGGTCCACAGGTAAAATGCTTTCTTTATGCAGCTGTAGAAACATAAGATATTTTCATACTCCAGGGTGTAAAAAGCTACTAAAGCTACCTACTAATGTAGGTTAAGCTTTACATGTATTTCTTTTCCATTGCTCTTGGTGTAGTATACCCTTTGTTTGTTGTCCTTTTGTTTCTCAAATACCGTCTGTTGTATAGTCATGTGCCAAAACCTTCATATAACATATCATACCTTAAGAACCTACCTTCTCCTTGATCAGGGAGGAGGGTGGCAGGACACTTCCCCCTGTCTCCTGCACGTACGATGGTGCCTAACAGTGACTTCAGCTTTCCTGAGTGAACCAGGTCATTGGAGCAGTACAGCCTTTCCTCTTGGCTGGAGATGTCACCAGTGCGATCGCCTGAATACTGGTGTGGAACTTAAATGTGCTATATTGTGAAAAAATCTAATGATTTTTTATTTCATTTTTAAGAGGTATTTAGAGCGCCCATATTTCGTCACAGAACGGACAAGAATGGTTTTAGCTTGGGCTTCAGCAAGAACCTAAGGCAGGTGTTTGGGGATGAGAAGAAATACTGGCTGCTGCCTGTGTTTTCAAGGTATGCTCAGCTTTTAATGCCTTATTTGCTGAAATTGTTCAATTGTCAAGACACACAGGGAATGGGGGTGTTTTTTGTTTGTTTTCTGAAATTAGATATGGTAATACTCATTTCAGAGAAAAAAAAACAACAGTTCTTCAAAGCATTTTTGTAAGTGTGGCACTAATTCTGATTTTTTTTCAGCCTAGGGGATGGTTGCTCCTTCCCAACTTGCCTTGTTAATCAGGATCCTGAGCAAGCCTCCACACCTGGTGGTCTTAATTCAACCTCTAAAAAGTAATCTGCTTTTTGTTACTTATTTCAGGTAGCTGATATTCTGTTCTGTGCCAGTGCACATAGAAATGGAACAATGTTTTACATATTTAAAAGTGGTAAGCAAATGAAGAGCCTCCTGCTAAGAAGTCCAAGTCAAATTTTAAACAGCCAAGTTGTAGTTCAGCTAAGCCTCTGACTTGTATTTAAATTTATGGAAATAACACCCCATCTCCCCATCTACTTTCTCAATTCAGTAGCGTCCCTGGACCTGAATTTTCTGTGCCTGCCTAGTTAGTGCGAGTAAAATTCCGTTCTGCATGCAAGATGCTTAGTTGGTCTGCCTGTGATACAGGTGCATTGCCTTAGAAGGCTTTCTGGGGAGGCCTGCTGCTTCCTGTCTGGTGAAAAATGCTTTGTAGAAGCAAATTTCAGGCCTCAAGGTATGGCAGGGAGAGCTAAAGTAGAGGGTAGGAAGGAAAGCTGTATATTAAATTCAAATATTTTGTTTCCGCTGATAATCAGAGACATTTTCTCAATCCTTATCCTTTGCAGTCATGACATCTCTAGAGTACAAAAAGCATGCAGATGTTCTTTAAACTAAATGAAAATATCACAGTAGCTTAGTAAATTATATTGTAACTTTATAGCAACATTTAAGTAATGAAGCACAATACAGATAATAGACATAGATATGTGATAAAGAAATGATAATGGATTCATACTGACAATCTTTTATTCATAAACAAATATGTTGCATGTTAGCAAGGTGTTCATTGACAGACAAAAAACATCACCAAGCTGGAGAATGTCTTACATCTTGCCCCAGTGATCTGAGCAGGGAGAAAGGAACCATAAGCTGTATTAGGAGAGAGATTTTGGAGATGTTCTCTCCACTGTTTTTCCATGGGACAGCGTATAGCTAGAAAGCCTTTGCAATGAACACGTGTGTAAAGATAGAATATCTGTCAAAGAAAAAATAAGGAAGTTTCTCTCGTTCTGTGCTAGAGTTGCCTTTTAGATTACACTTGCATTTGTGGCAACTACACTGTGTGTAATGACAGAAGTGTAGTGACTCATCAGAAAATACGCAGGCTAAGGTAGAGAAGATAGTGCAGATGACAGAACTATTTGAAGTGTGTGGTAAGGTAATGGAAAAATTACTGAGTTTTACTATAATGTTCACTTGTTGGCATTACAGCGAGAGTCTCCTGTTCCCTGCCAAGCCGCTGCGCGATTCCCAGAGCCACCTCCTCACCGACACGCAGTCTTGGTCAGACATCAGTGCAAAGGCTGAAAAGGGCAAAATTGGTAAGGAACTGATTTATGCTGCAACGATTTGTTCTGTAATTTGCCTGGTAAACTAGTTTTGGAGGATGTAGTGTAAAAATGACCACGCTTACTTGGTTAGTATTTCTTAGAGCTGTGCTACTAAGCTTATTTAAAATGCATCTTTGTAGAAAGATGGATATTTCAAGCTGTTGTCGCATTCCACATTAAACCCAACCAAGAGGTACTGAGAGCACCAGCACTAGTAGGTACCAGTTAACTTTTAGGCTTAGGTTGGTAATTCTTTTGGGGACAAATTGCTTATACCAGCATATGATGACACCTTGTTACAAAAGCCATGTAATGGACACAGGATGGGAATAGACTTGGTTAGTAGTGCAGCAAAATTAAGGTGATGATTGATAATTAAAGGCTGTATTATTTGCTGAAAAGCAAACAAGAGCTTTCCTGTTGAAATATCTTTTTTTTTTTTTAATATTACAGGTATGAGCAATCCTGCATTAACCATGGAAAATGAAACCTAACTTCCCTTAAAAGAATCTTCTGAATACTTTAGGAAAGGTATGTTACTATTCTGTGTATTCAATTTGCTATTCCATGATTCCTTACCACTTCAAAAATGCACAAAAGCAAGTTTTTTTAAAATAATTTGTCTGTTTTCTTCTATTATTGTTTTACCATGAGGTAGTAGCCTGTGAATTCAGTTTTAAACTAAGCCTCTGATTTCTTGATGGCTCATGCTTGCAAAATAGTGTTTAACCTTTATACTCGTTGCTTTTAGGTAATGTTCCCAAAATATTATTATTTCCTTTCTCTAGAAAGATAATGAAATTTTGGCTATTCAAGCTGTACAGCAAATCTTTGTAAAGCTAGGTTTACAATTGAAGTTAGTTCAATTCTACGACAGATCATAGTTTGGTCTACTAAAGCGGGCAAAGGTCTATCAGATGATGAAGGGAAACATAGATTTATTATAATATGTAAAACTATTAGCAGCTTTTTCTATGCCAGCTACTAAGCTGCATCCTAATCATTTAAAAAGTGCTGCCAACTGAAGATAAAAGGTATCCATATAACTTCCTGCACATTTACTGAGATTTATTTATTTTTTTGATATCTTGCAACATAAAAGGCAGGTTTGAGAAGCAGCTAGGAAAGCCTGTCCTGTACACAAGAGGAAGACACCTTGAGGGTTAGGGGAATGGACACAGTTGATCATCACATTCCCTTTAGTATTAGAAAACTCCTAAGTCCTAAAGCTTGATAAAAGTTTCCTATTTAAGACTCCAACCCTAAAAATTTCATCATACTGAGTAATGTACATTTTTGCAACAACATCGGAGGAGTCGTTCAGGCAAGGTCATTTCCATCTCTGCTCTTGGAAGCCTTCTTTCAGTCATCCTCAAGAAGTGTCTCAAAAGGATGTCCTCCACTTGTGTGTGGCATGCACATGCTGTGAGGCTGCACTGAGGCACTCCTGGAAGTGGGGGGCACAGAAAGTAGTCAGGGGACCACAGTGATCATTACTAGAATGGCCAGACATGGTTTTACACTCAAGGCAGATGATAAAAGCTGTAGTTGTGCATATACCAACAGATGGCCTGTAGCTTGTAACAAAAAGTTCCCAAAAGTTCAGTGTATCAAGTTGGATTCATCAGAGAAACTAGAAAATTGTTGACTCTCATGCGCCTTTTTTGTTTTAAGTGATGAATGAAGGCACAGATGGTTCCAGATATAGGAGCTCCTGGAGCATCTACCAACGCGATGATGCTGTGAAATGCTGAAGTGTTGAAAAATGTGGGTGTCAAATGAGCTCAGTTAGAGATAAGAGAAATGAAACTCAGCCAGTGTCAGCAATTTTGCTTGCTCTGTGTATGTCTTTTATGGGATCTAAGCTCCTATTTCTAACCCTTCATTCAAAATCTAAAATGACATGCCTGTGCCCTCTTTAATCCATCAGTTGCTTCAACAAAAGAGCAGCTTTTGTGAAAAAAATGAGCAATTACTCAACTTCAGTTAGTTTCGTGTCTTTTATGGGCCATCACCACTCAAGAATAAAGCACTGGAGACAGGCTTTAAAAAGGCAAACGAACAGATTTTTGGATTATAGCACTAACATTATATTATAGTATATATGTATATTGTATCATATATATAATATATAACATGATTATAATTATTATATTATAGTATTACAATATAGCATATGTATTATATCTATATAGTATATAATATACATGTATTATACTATATTATAACTAGTTGCCTTAGGTCAGAGTTCTACTTGGAACTTTGTGATTTAGGTCATTGTGACTGTCAAACATTCTGTGGGTTGTTCCCAACACACTCACAGTGTGTACAAAAATTGTTATTCGAGCTGTATTGCTCGGTAAATATCTCCAGCTATTTAATTATTTATTTGTTTTATCCAGTCTGGGAAGGTAACAACTAGATCTGTGCTTGTGGTCTGATTACCCCCAACCCTTGTGGTTTTTTTTGTTTAGTGTTCTGGTTTGGTTTGGTTTTGAGTGTGTAAGCATCCATTTATAGAAGTGCAGCTTTTTAAAGAGAGAACTTTGTCTTCAGAGGAGGTGGTGTTCCCAAGAGCAGGTGTAAAATCTGAAGGGGTTCCTGGATTTCAGTTTTGCCTCAGAGCAAAGCATGCACATCTCAAGAGCACAGTAGCTGAGAATTGATGATTTCTCTGCACAGGCCTAAGTAAGTTCCAGCTTGGTGGTATCCTTAACCCTGCCTGAGATTTTTTTTATGTGGCACTTGGAAAGACTTTCTGGAGAGGTCACAAGAAAGATAGATTATTGCTTGTGTGTAGATATAGCTGACATACAGTTGCTGGAATAAGAACCCTTATCTAAAAATGTTTTTTTACTGTATTTTGAGGGCACTACCTTGTGTGAAACTTCATTCCTTTATTGTCAGTATTTTGAGTTATACTTGTTCCTAGGGAGTGATTAAAATACTTTTAAAAATGCTGAAATCACAATAACCAAGTCAACTAATTTCATCTTTGATGTGAAAAACGCAGCCCACAGCTGCTGCTGGTGTGTTAGTAATTTAAATTTCTGTCCCAACTAATGATATGCTCAATATCCTGTGTTTATAGTTAATCAGAGGACTAATTACTGAGCATGCTGGATATGGGTAATGGATCTGACATAATACAGAATTGCTTTTTAATGATGTAGATACCTGGACGTACTGTAAGAATAGTTCATTTTATAAACTGGTGGCCTGCTTACAGTGTAGTCAGTTTTTATTCACTGCCATCCTGAAGTGGATTGATAACATATCTGCAAGCAGTCTGACTGGGTTCCTCTTCTTTGTTGTGGGATTTTTATTCAGCTGTTGCTCTCCCCTCCCCTTTGAGTTGATGAGACTTGGTGCAATAATGTAAGTGTTCATTACTAACAACATGTTTTGTGATTTATGTTCTGTACCAGTTCAAGAAAAAGCTGTTGGTGGAAGGAAGATGGATTCTTCCAAATATCAGCCCTATCAGCCAGCTGCTCCCGTCTGCTCCTGTGTGGATGTGCTCAGAAAACAAACTGACAGATGATAGCTGTCTCCATGTCACTGCTTGAAACATGAAACAAAACATACAACTTTTGAACCACATAAAGAATGTTTCAACTTAGGATTACTGATTTTGAATGGTGAAGGGTGATTCTGAGTATTATGGAAAAAAAAAAAAGTCTTGAGTTTACTATTGTAAAAATTCTGTGGCTGGTTTTACTTTGATATTCAGCACAAGAAAAATGTGACCTCCTTACGTATCAGCCCAGGTTCTCGCCTTGGTTTTGAAAGTTCACCTGTTAATTCAAATTGCTGTAAGTATTTGACTTACTTCAAAAATCAAATGTTTGCACTGCTGGCTATATAAAGTGGGAAAACAATCAGTGTTGGTTACGGACAATTTAGTGGCTCGGTGGACTGTATTTTCTTTTGAGCGCTTGATAAGCAAGTTTTTTGTTTTGTTTTTTAAGATAAGGCAACCCTAGTGAAGTGTCAGACTATTTTTGGATCACTTTTAGAAAACATTATTGTGAAGGCTCCCTTTTCAATAGTTGTGGAGTGGAGGGGAAACCTCCTTTGTTAATTAAATATTACAGTGAGTCCCTGGTAAATGGGTGATTAAAAAGTCCACATTCGGATGGATAATATGTAAGTAAAGCTCGTAGCTGGGGATTTTGATGAAAGCTGCACATGACGATCCTATGAAATTGGGGGTTTTATTCTCCCATGTGGAGCCTTAATCCCCTAAGGGAAAGGAAGGCTGACACTTCACTTTGGTGAAGTGAAAAAAGGTGCTTTTTTTTTTTTAAATCAAACTATGTTCTTGATGGTCACTGTCTTTCAAAATCCTAGTTTTTTATTAATCAATAGTTGTCTCAACTTTTTTCACTTCTTTAAGACACTGAATTTCTCACTGCATAAATTAACGAATATCACATCCAAACAAGGAGACATTGTTATAACTTAGGATATTTGCAGTTAAAGGATAAAGGATATTCAATTGCAATACCAAAAAGCCAAACTGCTGCATATAGGAAGCTCCCTTCTGTTAAGTTAGGAGACAGACAGCAGGATTTTTAGGATTGAAGTTTACCAGCCTGATGATAAAAGAGGTGTTATAAACTGCAAAGTCAAGGAAGTTTCAGCAACACAAATCTGTCTTGTGCCTTTTGTATGCACTAAACTTACGGTATCAGTGTTTACATTTAAATGCAATGTAATTGTTTTTCTGAAAATAACAAGAAGGATCTTAGTTATGCTTTCTAGGTGGCCAGGTAAAACAACTAGTCAAAAGAAACCCCAACAACCTGAAAACCTGAAAAAAGTTCTCAAAACTGAACTACTTAGCTGGTGTGTTCACGGTGGAAGGATTCCAGTTTTTGAAGAATAATAACCCCAGTTGGAAAGCTGGCAGCAGGACTAAGTGACTGATTTCTGAAAGCAAAAATTTTACCATAAATTCTTCTACAGGCAGGTAACTTAAAATTTTGAGGTTTTGTTTCCTGGATTTACAACGTAAGTGGTAACGATGGGAGCACAAATGTGTTGTTTTTTTTTTTTTCCAATGAGGAAGAATGTATTGGGTTTAATTTGTTTAAGATCTCAAAATTTTACCAGCCTGAGAACATCTGAATTTTGCCAGAAGTGCCAGAGTATGGATCCCTTGATGTAGAAGGCTTTTTTTTCAAACAAGCATGAAGGTAGCACAGTTTACACGATGCCTGCAGACATCCTAGCAACCAAAAGTTTTCATTTATTCAGTGTTGTCCTGTCAGCTTACTTTGCCTTAGTGTCTGTTTAAAGGCTAACTTGTCAAGGGATAAGGGGGAGAGGGAAAATATATATTTTTAACACTTCAAGTTCTCTAGCTGTATAGTCTTGGTTTTTTACACGGTCAGGGTGGTTTGTCACAGAGCATGCATTGGAAAACAGTGACTAAAAAGTTGAAATTCAGCTTTAATGTAACTTGCTCCGTACTTTTAGGTAAAGACTAAGTACCATTTTCTTCCCCAGCAAAATCTGTAATAGAAATTGCTCTAATGCAGGTGGCAGACCTGCCCTGGGGCTCTGCCAGGTCTCAGTAAGGCTGGGAATTGATATAGAGAGAAGGGGCAGGGATAGGGGATCAAAAAAAGTCCTGTGAGTCTCAACAGTCACATTTAGAAAGCACAATAGTCCTAAATAATCTGCAGTTTTGATGTAGCTAAAGGCTGTCCCTCTAGCAGAAAACTGGAGGCCACAGAGCCAAGAAATATGAATTCACAAGGGAAGGGTAAAGGGAAAAAGAAAATGAGGGTAATTCAGGTGTATTTGTTCAGCAGACTAGAGCGAGCAGGCCATAGCTATACCTGATCTCAGGTTGGGTATGAGCTGTGCCTCCAGGAAGAGCGATGGCAGGAAGCTTTGAGGGGTCCTGGCTGTTCTCTCCAGGGGTAACAGTAAGCTAATCGTGCTCCAAGGTGTAGTTGCTGATTGAACTATATTTTTGGCTTGAAGTGCCCTAATACCTTACATAATTAAGTGAAAATGCTATTTTTGACATATTGTCATTGAGCACTGGAGCTGTTACAATGCATGCGGGAGAACTCGTGAACAGGTAACAGAAGCAAGAATGCAATGTTGTTCGTCTGCTTACACTGATTCTCCTGTTCTTTGTAATATTCTTGCTAGGCACTTTACTACAGTCTTTTGGGTAACTTCTGTATTTTTTTTAAAGACTGCTTTATACCTACTGTACAGTTACTAATCTACTTTTTTGCTAAAAAAAAAAAAAAAAAAAGCCCTGGTATTTGTCTAGAAATAGCCCCGCATTTCAGGCTTCATTGGAAGGTGGAAGTTTGACAGACTCCTCAGCCAGGCCTGAGTCCCTCAAGTCAGTAGAGTTCAGTTTATTTTGTATACATGAAAGCTGTCATGTGAATCACTAGCCACCCACCTGTTTAATAAGCTTCCTTAATTTGTAGGTTAGAACAAATCCACGACATCTCTGCACCAGAAGTGGTCCACACACATTCTGTATCAGTTGATGCAATGCTCAGAGTCCTCACAGAGATCTATTTTTAATAAGAAAATTGAGCACCTCGATGTTGGTGAGCTCCTCCCATAGCGCAATTAGACAGTTTGCAATTTGGTGCACATTAGCAGTTGAGAGCTTGTCAGTAGCCCACGGGCAGGGAACTAAAGAAACCTTGGTAATTATTTTTTTAACTATCTGTACTTAAAATCATGGTCTTCAAGCAAGACTTCAGCAAGTTTGTTTTAGTGCATGGTATTCTAGAGCTGTTAGTCCCACACGTGGACTGAAAGAATTCTTGCCCTGATTCAGCTGACTGCTGTGTTGGTTGGGGGGGAGGGTGGGGGGATAAGTTTCCACATGTCTTTTGTGTAGAACTTTGCCACTTATTAAAGTATTGCTCAGATAAATAAACGCTTCATGTTCAGCAAGTCACAGCTGGAGTAGTCATTGGTACACCACCCGCAGTTTCCCAGGCAGCACACCTGCACAGCAGAACAGCCCTCAGCCCTACTGCAGCTCCACTAACAACATCAGTACTGTAAGTGCCCCTCCTCACCTCTGCACCAAGAATCACTCCCCTTACCTTATAGAACTGAGGGTTATAAGGAGAAGTATGTTACTCACCTGGGCCATCACCAACAGCAGGACTGTGTCTTTCTACAGCTTTCCTTCACGTCGGGCTCTGTCCAGTCCTTCCATGTTCTTCTAGCCACCTGCATTTCCCCTCTTTGCATTGCACCAGAGCAGACTGCTGGCAGAGAGGAATCTGTCTGCTCAGGGGCAGAACAAGCTGCAGGAACATTCATGGAAAGTAGAAACTGCAACTAGCCCCTTCCAGTTCAGCCATACCTTGCAGCACACACTCGGAGCTTTACCCCTCTTTCTATATACACGGTGGGGTTTTGGCTTAAAACCCTTTCATAAATAGTGGTATTGAACTGTATACAAAAGCTCTCATCCAAAACAAGATTAAAGAACATGCTGTAATCTGTAATGTCTTATGGGTGATGAGGTGTTTTTGTTGCCATTTGAAGCTAACATTTTTTCATAAAAAATTGAAGTATCTGGGACAACGATTACAGGCTTCAGCCTAGATCACCACAGTGCAGTCTCCTGAAGCAGATGGGCTCAACAGTTTGCAGCAGGTGGGAGAGCACCCTGTGAAGCCACATCCCCTTTCCCACCCTCCTCCATGTTCACACCATTCACACCAGAACTGAGCGGTGTATCCGGAACTGCCCCAACACTTCCCAACAGCCACTGTTTTGGGAAGCCTTTTTTTCTTTCCCTTCTGAACAGAAAAACTATTCTCAGTTCATTTAAGGAGTACCAGATATAAAGACAAAACCCCCTGACCGTACAAACTGCATGTTACAGCTGAACAGTAGGAACAGATGCCCACTTATTTTCCCATATTAGCAATTAAATTGGCCACTAGTTCAAGCAAACAAGCACAAGACAGGAATTCAGTAGCTCAGTGATGGAATAAGCACTCGAGCAACTAACCTTCATATAAAACACTACCCGGGACACCACAGCTACACTGCAGAGCATGCAGAGGGCCAAGAATGAAGGAAAACAAGGAGCCTGCAGAACACAGCTATAGTACGATGAAAGCTAAATAAAAGATATAGTCCATATAATGCATTTAGAAACCAAACAAAAAACACTTTTTCAGATAAGATGATGAATGCAACCACGGCTCTGAACTGCTGCCCAGTCAGAGATGAAGCACATTCTGTGGGATGCAGATCGACCCTTACAGTCAGCTGCTGCTACTTTCAGTGACTCAGGGGGAAGGGAAGGCTTCCCCTCCACTTCCCCTCCCTCCACCTCCTACGCTCACACTATCCAACCCAGTTACCTGAGGCAAGTATCTCACAGGAGCAAGAAAAAGCACGCTCAGGGAAGAGAATTCTCTCACTTCAGCAGACAAAAATCTGTGCTGGCAGAAAAAGGATGAGAGAAGGCTCTGCAGAAGTCAGATCTTCACATTTGGCATCAACAAGCAGATTTCATTCACAGATTATTAAAAAGCACCTTGAGGTCTATTGATTTTAAAGTTAATTTTTTAGTTATTTTACACACTAATGCACTGAACCCACGCTATCCTGAATCCATTAGCATCATGTGAATATTATAGAGTTGGTGTTCGCTGAGAAGTTCTAAAAAACTGATTCTCTGTGGAAGACATTTCTTCATTTCAGTGGGTTCAACTAGTTCAGGTGAGCTATTAATTAATTCAACGTTAAGAAACCAATCAGGAGTTTAAGGACAGACGACCTGGATATGCATGTTCTCGAGTAAAAAGAGCACTTGGCAAAATGGAAAAAGAATGATCAAAAAGTACATCACAACACAAACCCAGATACCATTGGGAAGCTTAAGTGAAGATACAGGGGGCTTGAGATTCATGTCCATTCCCCCCCCCATTTGGTATATTAACTAATATTTAGCTTATTTAAAATAAACAAACATGGCAGGAAGAGCGAGTGTGGCTCAGCCCAGCACAGGTAAAATCCCTGAACATCCAGCTTCATGATGGTAAACATAAGGACACCAGTAAGGAGGACCATGTTTGCACTGTAATCCAGCTGTACATTACAGTTGCTACACTGTTCTTCTGTTGAGATTTCAGTACATTTCTAAATCAAAATCCCAAGTGACATCAGATATCTCCAAACAAGTAAGCTCTGTATCAAAACATGAAGCCCTCCTCAGTGGAATACCTAAAAAAGCCCTGCCGGAGAATATTGGACTAACAAACTCATTTTGCCAGCTGATTCAATTAGCCCTTCACCAGTTCTTCTAAGTGACCACAAAAGAAGGATTATACAAAAGAATTTTGCAGAGCTGAACAAACACTACCACTCAACATTCAGCCAGCAAGATAAAACACAAGATTTCTTAAGCACTAATGCTTATAAAGCTAGGAAATTCTACTTGGAACTGTTAAATACAATATGCTACGTGGCCTTCTCCAACAGGAACCTCTCAAAAGCTAGGTTTGATTCTGTCACTTTCATTCTGAATTTCACTCACCAGATTCAACTTCAGATAGAGGGTGGCTTTCTGAACCCAACCCCTGCACACGTGGACAGTGTCTTTGCATCACTCCTGGCTCATCTGTCCCTGCTTTGTACACTTCCTTTCCAATTTTTGAGTTCAACCAGAAGTTCCTCGTTCATCAATGCAGACTTTGTAGAACTTTTGCTCCACTTCCTGCATGAGGGAATGAATCATTCCTGAGCTCGGAGAAAGCAGGCAGATAAGATTAGGGAAAGTTCATGGATGACCTCTGGGTCATCCCCAGATTCACAACAGAAAACGCCCCAAATGCTTTCAATCTGTTCCAGACTGATTTTCTTCCGCCTCGAAGATTCCTCTTGCCTAGTTTTAATGGGGAAAGGGATTAAATGCTTTAAGAAAGTGACAGAACATAATGTTCCTGGAACATCTGACTCCAGAAGCCAAAAATACAAGTGGGAAAAAAAGTCAAATATAAGTTTCTGATACTGTATTTCTTCTGACAAACCTCCAACAACAGATTTTAAATGGATTGGGAAGAGCAGAAGCCTGGAAAGAGAATTCCTGTCTCTGAACAAAAAGGTACACGTCTAGACAGCTGGAACGACGCCTGCACATTTATTTCCACAAAAGCAATTAATCCTCTCCACTTTGGAAGCAGATTCAGATTTCAGGCTCTGCAGGTTACAAGTAACAGTACTATATATAAGAAGAAAAGACTTTTTTTCACAATGTTGGCAACTCACCATTTGAAGAATCACTCCTTAATGGAAACTAAACCTAATTTTGCCACAGAAACTGAACACTGCACAGATGTCTCCCAGCTGTAATCAGCTCTCGTCACAGACAAATCACATTTGATCAGACCAAGAACTCTCTCACAGAATAAAGCATAATCTTAGTTTCATGCCAATTAGTGGGTTTTGAGACTTCTTTTTTCTTAAATGGGAGGAAAGCTGAAGAACACAATTGCTTGAAGTCCAATATCCATGAGAATTTCAGGCTAGGATTTATGCAAACTCAGCCTGGTCCTGCAGACTGCATGCTCACTAGCAGCTGGAACACCAGAAACACACCTATTGCACGTCTTTGGGTTTAGGTTCTTCCACTTAAAAGAGTCCAAGCTCTGACAGTTCATAACTACAAGCAAAGCAAGGTGCAGAAGAGCACACACAATGCACAGTCACTTCAAAAGCACATCCCAATGTGAACTAAAACTTTTACCACACA